AGGCTAGGGGCGGGCCGCGGGGGTGGGAGCCCGCAGGGGAGGCCTGGATCTCCCCAAGTGTGGTTAAAAAACCAACTTCCTCCTGCCCAGTCATACAGGATTGAGGTGTGGGGGATTTTTTTGCACAGGGTAGCGCGTCTCTGTCTTCCCATCGCGCTGCTCTCTTTATGCTCAACTCCGAGGTCGCGGTGATCTTTAACTTTTTTAACGTAAACCGCGGGGGTGGGAGCCCGCAGGGGAGGCCTGGATCTCCCCAAGTGTGGTTAAAAAACCAACTTCCTCCTGCCCAGTCATACAGGATTGAGGTGTGGGGGATTTTTTTGCACAGGGTAGCGCGTCTCTGTCTTCCCATCGCGCTGCTCTCTTTATGCTCAACTCCGAGGTCGCGGTGATCTTTAACTTTTTTAACGTAAAGAAACTAACAGCAGAGAGGGCTCACCGTGGTTTAAATCCGATGCTTTTACTCCAACAGCTCTTTAACTGGCTGCTGGTGACTAAACCTTTGGGCCCCCTGTCCCCACCACCACCCTTCAAACGCTGCTTTCATTTTCTTCACCTGAGACACCCAAGTCACTGCACCCAGAATGAAGCACACAGCAATCTTGCACCACCCAGCCTTGGTTTGGACCTGTGGCATTTTGGAGGCAGCATTGCAGCCCTGCCCAGAAACAAACCCTTGGCTTAGGGCCCCTTCACTGTAAAGGCCACTTCTTGCTGCGAGTCCTTGCGAGACCAACCCCAAACTTCACAGCAACCCACATAGGCGCCTCAGGGTTGCAGCATTCAGAAAAAGCTCATGTTTAACAATGAATTCCAAGCAGGCTACAGAGAAAGGGGTTGTACTCTGTCAAGAAACAATAGTTTTCTTCATATGACAACTAATGCATAATTTATGGTTACAAATAAAAGAACAGTTCTACATCACTTAGTTCTTTTATTATTTCAGGAACAGAAACAGCAGAATAAAATCACCATATTAGGAAAGCTATTTCGACTACATTTTTGGTATTAGGCAGTTAAACTCTTTCAGAAACTATGAATAGAAAAAAATAAGTAACAATAGCAAAAAATTAAAGCTTTTTGATGTAAATATTGCATAGGCAGCATAGGATTTTTCATTACACTCTTCGTTACAGGTGATAGGTATAAATCCAGGTGCCCTGTGGCAATAAAACAGTGATCCTCACCCCTTGAATTCCCTACAAGGATGTTTAGTACATAGACATACTTTTATGCCCATTCTTGCCCAAGTGCTCGTCCAGTTACTGTCCAAAAAGCCCTGTCCAGTCAGGACACGTAGCAACACTTGCAAAAGGCTGCCAAAGCCTCCTTTTATCTCTAGGGAATGTAGCGAAACATTGAATGGATGAGTCTGGGGAAAAAGAAAAAAAAGCTCAGGGATGGGAGAAAAAAGGGAAGGGACATAAAGATGTGCTCCAGCCTCAACAGAAACAAAATTAACTTTGTCCTTTCCTGGGAGATGTCACTGTCTGACTCACTATCCCGCAGCCACAAAAAGTAAAGTGCAATGGGGACTACAAGGACAGATGAAGCGTTCACTGAGCAAGCGGGATGTTACTTGTGTCAGCGAGAAGTTGGAGAGCTTTGCTCCCAGATGCACAGGGCAAGAGAGCTGTTTTAAGCAGCAGTTGCTGTGTATGCCAAAGTGGCTTTGTTACTCTCTTCAAGCCCGAGATGAAGACCACAGAACTGGATTCAGGCACAGGTGAAAGACAATCAGTGCAAACAGAGTAGCCCTATTCTAAAGAAACAGAAAGTTACTGTGTAAAGGCAGCTCTCCTACCAGGATACCTCCTTTCTAGGGAGAGCAGAATCTGCCGCAGAACAAAATGCTGGAAGTTTTGTTGTGCCGGATGAAGAAGAGGAAGGGATGATTAGCAGTGAATTCTGGCACGATCATGGCACAGCGCAGCATCATCACTCCGGCCGTGGCAGCTGCCGCTTCAGTGCCTTCTTCGTTGACTTCCACAAAGGACTTGTGAACCACTTGAGAGAGCACCAGCTCATTGCCAGCTGAGATTCCCGAAAAGTCTGCCTTCCCCATGTCAAATGCATCCGGCATTCCCATGCTGCTCAGAAGCGGTTTCAGGTCATAATCTTCTTCAAGTTTAAATCTGGGTAAAGACACCTTCACCTCTGTACAGTCCATCATTTCAGGATTGATCCAATCTATCAGCCTTTCATACGTAAGCTCTCTTTCCAGCTAAAGAAAAATCCAAAAGTTACATTATTAAAATGAGAGTCAGTTTTACACAGCTAAAAGTGGCAATTATTGTGTATTTACCTAGTGCATAGCATGCATCTTTTTTTTCCAGGGTTTAGAGGCTCTCAAGCCAAAAGTGGAAGTTTTATTTCTCAGTAGAGTTTATGGCCCCAGCTGAGATCAATCCCATATGCTTTTTGGTAGATACAATAAGGATCAGTCCTTTCCATGTAAAGTTTATTTTTATAAAACACGTTAGATTTGGGTTGGTTTGGTTTTTATTTTACATTTTTACATATGGAAGACGCTGAAGAACTGATGACAAGGTCCCAAACTGAACTCAGTTCTTCTGCCTCTTAACCAAAGGCTCCTCCTTCAGGTTGACAGGCTGATGAGAAAGTCTGCTCACAATGCCCTTTGCAGTGTTAGAAAACCCCATTAATAAATTCCTTGGCCAGAGCATGAAATAGCCAAGACTTGTGTCACCTTCTTAATAGAAGAGATCCTAGACTTTCCTATGAGCCTGTTTTCAGGCAGGGGGCCAGAGACAATCTGCCAGGTGCTCAGAAGATCTATGCGACAAGCTACAGGACTTTCCTAAGAGCTCCCCCAAATTCTGTCTCACCACATACAACGCTCACCATCCTACGCCTTCACCATAACCACAGCCAACCTCTGCTCCTGAGGAGGGTCAGGTCTTCTTCCAGAGGCTCTGGCTAAGGGGGCAGCACAAAGCCTGACCAGTAGTGACACAAGGCATGCCAATCACTTTGGGGGCAGGGAAGCGTAGGACATGTCAGTGGCGCTCAGCATCAGCTGAAATAATAGCTTTGGAATTGAACAGCAGGTCTAAATCCAATGTTAAACTTTCCTCCCTGGAAGAATAGAGATTGTCTTTGCATTTAACTCAACAACTTACCCTTTCCAAGCCAGTGGATTCATCCTGGATTGCATCAGGGAGCAGGATGATCATGCTGAGCTCATTACCGACATAAGGGAGCTCAAGGATTTTGGTCTGGAAGTCCCCAATATAGGTCATGTTAAATTTGTCCTTCTTGAACATCATCTGCACAGGTTTGGTCTCTTGCTAAAAATAGAGAGATGTCAACAGTCAGTACTGAGCTACTATGCTGGTCTCAAAATCTGAAGCTGGCATTCAATTGCTCAGGGTTTTTTAGAACTTAAGAGACTAAACACACCACAGGGTACAGCCCCACCACTGCCTTCTGTAAAGCAAGTGGTAAGAAGTAAAGATCCCCAAGATTTAGTTTTTAATTGCTAATGTGGGAATATCTGTGAAGTTGCCTTGAAGGCAAAGATGCAAGGACGCATTGGCTCACTGAAGAACTAGTGACACGCACTAAACAGAAGTGGTACAAAGCAGGGCCTGCGTTCCTTGCTTTAAATCGACATGAAATTATTTCAATGTAGGTATTTTCATTTTTAGTCTGTTTGGCTCCAAGTGCTATAACAAAGAAGAACTAACATATTTTAAAATTATACTAAAAAATGCCAAGGAAGTGAGAGCATTATTTTGAATTCTTAAAAGCCACATGGCTAGTAAGGTGGGGAAAGATTTTTCTTCTCTATTGCATTCTTCACTATCTCCTTCACATGGAGGATCAGCTACTATTGTTTATATCATTATTTTCCTCCTTTTCAGTTGAGTTGTTTTTTAAGGTAAAGCCCATTGAAACAACACCCAAAGAGAATATGGCAGAAATTATTTTGCAGCAGCAATGACACATGAAAAGGATGGATAAGCAAAGGCCACACAGCATGTGAAAATCATCCAGTGAGTCCCAAGAAGTGCAAGACTCACAGAAGTAATGCCACAGGAGGCTGGAAAGGCTCCTGGGATGATACAGTAACTCTTTGCTACTGGGCAGATTGTAAAATAACTAGCTTAAAACTTCAGATTACTCCTGGAATTTCCAATGGCTTATTTGAGCCTACTCACACACTTCTGCAGCTCATCAGTGGCTCATCTTCAGTAGGATGAGAATACAAACTTAAGCTATTTAGTTTTACAAGGAAAGAGAGTTGCAGTTGTTTTGCATATCTAAAAGTGAGTTACTTGTGTGAGCCAAGGCAGCATTTCCCAACCTTACAACATTCTCCCATAGTTACCTGGATTGCAAAGACTCTTAATATTAAAAAGAAAAAATACTTGATATTTACAAAGGAGAGGGTAATCTCGCAGCTAGGCTGGGCCTTATTCCAGGAACATTAAGATTTAGGTCATGAGCTCACCATAGCACAGTATCCAATACAGAAACATCACTGAACCTGCCCCTCAGGAGGGAAAGGAGAGTGCCCTATACATCTCTGTAGGAAACTAATGCCAAACATTCCATGTGTGGTAGCACCACACAATGTTCCACCACAAGTCAAAAGGCAGATTATTTATCAGCACTACATGCTGTTGGTGCTGTATCTCAAAACATGGTCCTAGGTGTGCAATAGTCCAGGCAAAAGAAAATGGAATCGAGTACCTGGATGCACTGCTAGATTTTTCAACACATTTCAACAGCGACAGAGCAAGGTGTCAGGAACCAAGTCAGTCCTGTGGCTTCTGAAGTGCTGTAGCAGTCAGTATGGGGTGAGCAACAACACTTCCTATTGGAAAAGTGGTATTAAGCAATTTCAAGCATTCTTGGCTATCTTTCACCACTGGGCGAGGGACAGTTTGAAGTTCATAGAATCATAGAATGTATTGGGTTGGAAGGGACCTTTAAAGATCATTTAGTCCACCCCCCCTGCCGTGAACAGGGACATCTTTAACTAGATCAGGTTGCTCAGAGCCCCATCAAGCCTGACCTTGAATATCTTCAGGTATGGGCCCTCCACCACCTCACTGGGCAACCTGTTCCAGTGATCTACCACCCTCATATTGAAGAACTTTTTCCTAATATCAAACCTATATCTACCCTCTTCTAGTTTTAAACCATTACCCCTCGTCCTATTGCTACATGCCTCTGTGAACAGCTCTTCCCTAGATTTGTTAAAGGCACCTTTCAGGTATTGGAAGATGGCTATAAGGTGCCTCCGGAGGCTTATCTTCTCCAGGCTGAAGAACCCGAACTCTCTCAGCCTATCTTTGTTGGGCATGAGGGCTTCAGTTTTGCATAATGGATGTTTTAAGCACACGAGTTAAGGAAGTCACCTTAGCAGTTCTTGTTAATGACATCTGGAGACATATCCAGAGTTTGATGTGACCCTGAGGGGCAGTCACAGCCTGCTACCGATAGTAGCCAAGTCATCTTCAATAGCACTGATCTACTTCTAAAAGCAAGAAAGTATAGCATGGAGGTCTTAAAATGAGAGTTTGTTTTATTTTTTTCCCTCATTTATTTTGGATCAGTTCAGTGGTAAAAATGCAGCAAAAAAGCACTGACTGAAGAAGACTTACATTCAGAAGTTTCTGCATGTGTGTAAGTGCTCTGCCTACAACCTAAAGGAAAATTTCTTTTCTTATCCACATCAGTTCTATACTGAAATACTCGAGTCCACCAACTTCTGTGAAATTGTCCACAGCTCTAAAATAGTCTGACAGCTTCACTCAACTGTTTTCTTCTCCTCTGTTCCAAGTGCTGTAACTGGAGTGCTACCTCTCGCAAACAAACAAGAAGAGCAAAGGAAAAAATAAGAGACAAAATGAAAGAAATACTTAATTGCTATATTAAAGTTCCTAGTAATTATGTGAAACGTAACAGAAGCTAAATAGAAAGTGTTCATATCAATGGGAGGAGGTATAAGGAATTTCATACAGTGTACCCAAGGTAACCTTACTTGATTTTTTTTTTTCTTCAAATGAATAAATGTATTCATTTCAGAGCACTTCAGAGTAAAGTGTACCATCACCATTTTAGCACATCATACCTTGTTAATGTGAAAGGGCATTTCTGCTGTTTTCTCTTTTTCGAACTGCTTTTCCCAGTTGCCTTTGAAATAGATGGCATTCACCAAGACAAGTCTGGTCAGCGAATCGAGAATCCCCTTCGCCAACAGGTTCCGAATTTTACCTTTATTATACGTAGAAAAAAAACCTCAATTTTTAACAGTTTGACATGCATCTAGTTACTATCTAATATACCATCTACTCTTAATACACAATAAATAAATAGATAAGAGAATTATGTACCAGAGCAAGAGCTCAATGTTTGGGTTTTTTTTAATTCACAATATTGTATCTTGAAACAGCTGCTTACCCAAGCCCTGGCTGATACTGAATACAACAGGGCATTTTGCAAAACACTCACCTTCAGTTCTTTCCTCTACCCAGGCATTTATTTGTTCTCTGGAATCCTCCCAAGCATGCTTGAAGTCAGTCTGCTCCAGTCCAGCATGGTACAGTTTCTGACTCGACTCTATAAATGACTTACAGGGACATTCAGAACAGCTTTTCAGCAATGTATTTTATTCTCATTCAACACCACATGATTTTTAAATATACCAAGAAAATCTGCCTGTTTTCCTCCCCCAGCTTCATACAGAGCTCATAAAGTTTTGTCTGACATGTTTCTATTAGGTTTCGTACCACCTATTTAAACTAGAAATTGTCCACTGTGTGTTTTTAAGTCAAATGGCTTGTTTATTATGTTAGAAAGGTCTACATAGCTTAATTGAGGAACAATGTGGCTAGTTTTGGGTTTTCTTTTTGCTTCAGTGAGAGAACATACAATTTTGTAAGCTTCTCTCTACGTAAATTTCATTGTTAAACCTCTCAGGCTAACAGAAAACAGTTCAGAGGGAAAACTGATTTCTCTTTTTGAGGGGAAAAATATACTTTCTCTCTGATTTAATATGGTTAAATCTTTATTACACAAATGCGAAGTTTTAGAGTACAATCCATATAATTTTTATCTACTAAACAAATGAAACACTGGCATTCTTCAAAAAAAGAATCACCGGAAATAACTCCTGGGGGATAGACAAGGAGGGAGGGAGCCTCACATCACCTTGCTTCTAGGGAAGCATCTAAAGGAACATGTATAACACAATAACCATTATCCTTATTTAGGTCTTCTAATAAGGAAAATCTTACAAGTCATGTACTCCTCTCAGTAGGAGTTCTCTGGATGACTTAAGTAACAAAGAAAATCTACAAAATACTGCCCACGCTGAAGAGCAAGAACTATTCTTTTTTTATCACATTTACATACGATCAAGGGAAAAGAGATACATCAACCATTTGTCCCGCAGCCAAAACTATGAATGGATCATGGAACTCATTATTTAGAGTCTGATGGATTTTATAGTGCTTTTTCACCAGTTGTGCACTCAGATTACAGGCTACCTAAAAGGAGCTTCTTCACCAAGCTCAGGATTTGGCACAAGCTATCACACTGGCAGGTTTCAGGTTAGAAAATTTGGAGAGTAAAATTCAAAGCCTGCCTTTGACCCCCAAAGGAAATAGGTAGCAAGTATATTCTACTGAAAAACACCACAAAATTAATGATTACTTACCAAGAGAAACTCAAATGTCTTTTCTCCATAAAGTCGGTTAGCAGTTCTCAGTATATATTTGGTGTCTGGATTGTTAATTTCAGAGAGAAGTGACTGATACCCCTTGTGAGCATCTCCAACTTTGTTCAGACAAAGCACCTGTAGAAAGACAAACATCCTCAGCGGACTCCATGCCTTCTCTAAACACACTTGCTTTAGCACAATTTTATTTTTTTTTAATGACTCTTGTGTTTAAAAACTTTGACTTGAAGCCAGAAGATTTTTCATCACATCTCCCATCTGGGGCATATCATGCAAGTCACGTATGATGTACCCAGCCATATGTTTTACGAGTAATAAATTGGTGCAGAAACGTCATCAGTATTTAGTTTCCTTCACATAAGCCAAGCATTAGAAGATCACAGAACGGCTGAGGTTGGAAGGAACCTCTGGAGGTCATCTGGTCCAAACTCCTGCTCAAGCAGGGCCACCTACAGCTGGCAGCCCAGAACTACGTCCAGACGAATTCTGAGTATCTCCAAGTATGGCAACAATATAATATAATTTTGGATAAACTTTTACAGATTTAAATGGAAACAAAATGTATTTATACTCCTCTTCCACTTTGCAAGATAGTAACAAAAATTACTAACTATGCCTTCAGTACTGTCAATTCCATATGTCAAACATATGCCAAGTGGTATTTGTCACCTGAGCAAGTTTAAAAGCAACAAAACTAAACTAACATGCAGCTACCATTTTGACATTCATACAGGCTGGATTTTTAACTTTTTGTTTGTTTGTTTGTTTTACATGCCTGGTTATGTTTTCAAAATGTGCCTAGACTGTTATAAAGCCCAAAGAAGACAGAAGAAAATATTTTATGTAGCTAGAGATACATCACATCTACAAACAAAATCCTAGGTACCTCTTAATGGCATATTGGAGAAAGATCTGTCAGTCTCAAAAAACCAACCAAACAAAAAAACACAACCAAACAGCCAAAACCATCAAAACCCCCATACAACAGCAACAAAAAAGGGAAGCAAAGGAAGCTTCCCCTATAAAAACAGGTACTGCTTATATACATATGAAAGGAAGACCTCTGCTCTCTGAGACCAGAATGACAACAACAGTTTAGCATAAGCACAGGTCACACACATAAGACAGATTTGTTGTTCATATGGTCCCAGATTCAATACACTAAGTTTATTTAGACATACCTTTGCTATTTGGGCTTCAGTGTTACCTTTGGAACCCAGCAAAATCATAGACAAAGCAGAAGAAATACTAAAAGGAGAAAAGAATATATTCTCTCCGCTTTTGTTCTCATACAGCTTTCTTAAGAGGTCGAGTGCAAAAGTGGTATTTGCTGCACAGAGGCTATCCATGGTTCTGAGCCTGGGAGATAAAACATAAAACAAGAACAGCTCAAATTTATTTGAATAACTTATTTCAGTCTTCTATATTTACCAGTATGAACTATCCAGCAAGTGTCATAATTAGGCTGGAAAATTATCAATTCACTGAAAAACTGATTTGGTGGAACAAGCATCTTAAATCCAACACCAGGCATTTGAGTTATTTTACTGATTTATTGTTCATTTTGCTATTTCAGTCACATATGTGTAACAGAGACAGCAATTCCCACTGTTGTCATTACACTTCACTAGGTAAATAATATTGCATCTTTTGAGACTATTACAGACAACAGTATTTTGTTTATTCTGTTTATTTTTTTAAAGTTTATTTTGACTTTTTTTTGACAATTACTTGACTTTATAGGAAAAGCAGAGCAAAAAGTTAGGTATCAAAATAGCAGAATTATAAACTCTTACCTTCACTACGTCTGTGTATCTTCAGTATAACCTTCAGCTTACTTGTATGTGTGTACGCTGTGTTTTAAACCTAACAGACACTCCAGCAGAAATCAGCAGAATGACTTAACCTACGAGACTAAAAAAAAAGAAAAGGGAAAAAAAAGTTATTTGGTCAGCATGAAGCATAACAGATAACTGCAGTTTCCTGCTGTAGTACAAAGAAAAAAAAAAAACCAAAGTCCACTACTTTATTGCTTACAACACAGAAACACACACAATAAAAATACTAGCTTAAAGATATTGTTATGGTGCATGCACATTTCAGCATAGGTAACTTGATGTCTGTCATACTCTACATACTGTGTAAGCAGTTAACTAACCTAAGATTAAACCACACACACCTATAAAAGGAGCAATACTAGAAGGCTCAGTTAACTACAGATAAGTATCACCAGACATGGTAAGATAGCAGCTGGTAGTAAAGGTTTCTGTGTTTTGTTCTTCCCTTAAGGCAGTGCCTAGTGTTGATATGTTGCTACAAAATACCAAACCAACACCTAATTCGTATTACTAATGCATTATCTCAAACAAATAGGTGGAAAGAACAAGATTCTGTATGCAGGGTTTTCCACCTAGGAAAGTTTCCAGCTAGTAGCTTTGCAATAAACAGTAGTAACTTTCCTCCTGTTTCTCTTGTCCAATAACTGAAAGGAAGGGGGGAGGGCGCGGGGAAGTAATCTCAGGTGGAAATCATCCTTTGTCTGAAACAAGTAATTTAACTACATGTACTTTACAGCATAAGTAGGAGGCACTTAGTATTTCAGTTCATGTGAGTTACAATGCAGACCAGAACTCCCCTACTGTCCTGATACCTGTCAGATTGCTAGCAAAAAGGGTTTTTGACCTGGAGATCAAAAGGCACAGGAATAGGGACAGCAGCAAGCAGTACTATCTAGAAAGTCTTCATAGGGCTTCTACGACAGACAAGAATTTACAGACAAAAGGGGGCAACTCACACTATTTGCCTACCTGAAAAATTGGTTCATTCAACCGAATTGTAAGTAATATTTCAATAGCTGGGACACAAGGCAGGAGTTTTATCTCTACAGTTACTCACGCTTTCTCCGAAGCTCCTGAATAGCAGTGTAACTACTGATACTCATAAGAGCAGTTTTGGAGACAATACAGAATGACTGCACTTTAAGGAACAAAAAGCAATACACTACAAGCACGTATTTGTCAGTCAACTGTAAAGTGTTTGCTTCAAAACCCTTGGCGATCAGAGGGTTTCCCACACCAACTCATTCCTCACTTGTGGGCTCTGCAGGTCAGTGGCAAGGCATTCATGCGGAGGTTTCTGGATGCCCTGACCCTGAATATTCCTACCACTATGAATTTGAAGCATATATTCCCAGCAGTAGACACCTACGCTCTAGGGTAGCTGTCTTTATGGACAGAAAGGCTGTATCCAGATTAAGCAGATACACGCAGCAGCATCCCTTTCAAATACCGGTTTTGCTATGGAGGAGCCTGGCCAGAGCAGGGTGCAGCTCTCCTCCATCCTGCGGCCCAAGAGACACATCCCACCGAGGCTAAGACATGAATTAGCGCCTGGCAGACCTTGCAGGAGTCGCAAGCTGGCAGCTTCAAACAGAGCCAGAGGAGGAACTCGGGGTGACGAGCATCGGGTGGTGTCCGTCTGCACAGAGGAAGCCACATCTGTGGCACAGACATCCCTTTTCCCATCCCCTGAACCAAAGCGTCTTGAGGGAAAGGGGCTTCATTGAGGATTTGGAGAGTTGGAGCGATGTTAAAACACTTGCAGGGTAAGATCTCCGACAGCTCCAGGTAAAGGCCTCCCGCTTCTCACCCTTCCAGGGGCAGTCAGTGGGACACGGGGAATAACGGAGCCCAGTGACCGCCCACCACCGCCAGCTCTCAGCCCTCTCTGCCTCCACAGGGGCGGAGGGGCAGGGAGGAGCCGGGAGGAGGTCCGAAGATCTGACACTGTCCCAGTGCGGTTAGGCAGAAGTAGCCAGGGGTTTGGCACTCAGCAGGGCGTAGGCTGGGGAAATAGGAAAGGAGCGGCAAGACTCTCCTTCGCCCCCGCATTGGCGTTATGAAACACTTTAAAACTCAGGGGTGCCCCCCGTCACTCCTACGCGGAAAAAGCATTCCTTAACACACTGCTGCGACTCCAGCTGACAAGCAGCAGAAGCTACGTCATGAAAGAGGAAAAAAATAAAAGAAACGCCATGCAGCTTCTGCTTCTTTAAAAAAAATAAAACGCAAGCGCAAGCTTTCCGTAGAAAACAATATCGGCAGGATAGCCGCCGCACTCACCCTGCCGGGCGCCACACTCCCCTCTTCCTGGGGCCCGGCCTTTTGCTTTCCCCGGAAGCATTGCCGAGATGAGGGGGGGAAAAAAGGGCGGGAGCCCGGCCCCTCCTCCGCCGCGCCCCGGGCTCTAGCCTGCGACCAACGGCCATTTGGCCGTCATGGCGGGGAGGCGGTGCAGCTTCCCCCCCGCCCCGCCTCTCCTCCAAAATGGTCGTCAGCTACAGCCAGCCCTTTTTTGCCTCCTTACTCCTCGCGCTATTAGATCTCCGTGGGCCTCGCCTGGCCGCAGATAGCGATCTTCCACCTCTGCCTCCCTCTTGTGGCAGAGCTGACAGAAAACGCCACCAGTCCCTGAGGGGTCATTGCTATTACTAATTATTTTTGAAGCAGTGGTTTTGAACAAAAGTAAGGTGTTGCTGTAGCCTGAGACGGTATGAGCTTGGCCCCTCCTCAGGTACCTGAGGGTCTGAGTGAGACAAATAGTCCACACAGAGGTCTATCTTTTATTTTTTTTTTTTTATTTTTATTTAAGGAGTCAGTAGAGTGACATGAGAAGCCAATTGAGGTGAAATTGGAAGCTGATGAAGACTTACAGCTGGAGTGTGGAAGGAAGGCAAAGGGAAAGGCTACAGGCCTTGGGTGGGGAGGAGTCTGCCTCCATTTGTAATGCAAGGACCTAATCAAGGGCTATACAAGAGCAGGGTCTAACTGCTGTGGGGTGGGAGTAAGTACTAAGACCACATCTCAGTCTGCTCTGATTAGGGTGAGCAGAGTCTGCCAAAGAAGAGGATGCTTTGGGATTTGTTGTGTTTGATGAAGAAGAGGAAAGGGTGGTCAGCTTTGAAAGTCATTGTTGGTGCTTTTGATCTCAGCACCAGGACACCTGTAGCAGCTGCTGCCTCAGTACCTTCTTCATTGACCTCCATGAAAGCTTTGTGAATTATTTTTGAGATGAAAAGATCCTTCTTGGCTGACATCCCTGTGAAGTCAGCCTTAACAGGGTCGAAAGCATTTTGTATCCCCATGCTGCTCAAAGTGGATTTAAGGTCATAGTTCTCTTCTAGCTTCACCTTGGGCATGTACAGATCCACTTCAGCTTTCATCATGCTGGCTGATTTGGTCCATTCAGCCAGTTTCTCGTAGCTCAACTCTCTTTCCACCTGCAGTGAGTGAAATCAGACTGTCAGTGACTTAAACTCCATTTTCTTAAAGGTGGTGAGGTACAGGCCTGAACTGTCAGAGTAGTTCATTATTTGTTTTCTGCTGTGAAGAGAATTACTTATTTTGTAGTGTGTAACTCATTATGATACTACTAGGTGCTTGCTACGTGTGTATATGGATGACTTTTCTCTTGGTAGTGGTAAATAAGTGGAACACATGTGACCTCAGGTACAAATAAAAAGATGTTTCCCCTTAATCTGTTCAGAATCTGAAACTGATCCTGGTGTGGACGTGAGGGCCTGTTGATACCTTCTTGGTCGGGGTAGTCAGTACTTAGAGTGAGAAACCTCACCACAGAATATCAGGTGTAAATCCAGACTGCAAATGACATGAAAAATTAATTAATACAGCCATCAGAAGATGATAACTCTAGGGCATGGTGGTTCAGATTTTGTCCTTGCTTTTCATGTGCTATTCTAGCAGTAGAAAAGTAGAAAAGGGGACACAAAATAGGCTGAGACAGTTGTGTGGACGTACTTTTTTAGTGTATCCCTAAGTAAAATACTATGTTTGCAACATTATCAGATGTGGGGCAAATCCTAAGATGAGAAATCATGGTGTTACAGTTTATGAAGCAAAGGCTGCACACATCAGAACCTATTCTACCACAATTTTGAAGCTCATTCCTCCTTGTTCTTTTTATCTGTTTCTGTTACTGTCTAATAGTGTATCTGATGCAACATTAGGTCAGTTTTACCAGCTCCAGACCAGTAGTGTTATCATTGATGTCATCTGGCAGAAGAATGAACATGCTGAGTTCATTTTCCACGTATGGCAGCTCAACGATTTTGAATTTCATGGTTGTTTCATGGAGTATCAAAAATTTCTCTCTCAGAAACATCATCTGTACTGGTTTAGTCTTGGTCTGTGAAAAAAAATCAGACATAAAAAATAGTATCACTTCATTTCTTAAAATGGATGATAAAGATTACTTGCTTCATTGAACTGAAAGCAAAGATTTGTAAATAAGTACAGGACTCAGCAGTATTTGCATACTCAGCACTCTCAGCAGTATTTGCATACTCAGCCCTCTTTCCTTTGGCCAGTATCACATACACTCTTTTTTCAAAGTCATTAGGATCTTTACAAAAAATCTTCATGAACACATACAGTTACCTGCTAACTGAATCACATGTAATCTGTTTCTCATTTTAAAATAAAGGAGTTAGCTTTGATAAGAAAGTAACTACAGTAAGTGTAGTTTCATGTTTTCTCCCAGATATTACATTTTTTGACTTTCTTGCCCTGGAAGCCATCAACTCTTTTGCCTGTGTTATACTTCTAGGCAATACTGGTTGTCTCACTTTGCCTCTGAACCATATTTTCTGTGACCTGGGCTGGCTTTTCCTCTTCCCCAAACCATAGAGGACTGGGTTACCAAATGAAATTGGTTTACCCAATAGTCTTCCGTGCTCCTATGCTGTATTATGTTTACAGAGTTAGTACTGATATATCCACTATACTTTACATTTGAGTTACTTTTGAGTTCAAAAGTTTATCTGTTTGCAGGCTTTGTATCAGGTACTCTGTGAATTAAACCCTCTCTGTGCACCAATGCGTTGGGTTTACTTGGCAAGGTTTTGGGAGCAGGGTGGCTGCAGAGATGCCTTCTGTGAGGAGACATCAGAAGCTGCCTCCATGTCGGGCAGACACAGTTCCAGCCAGCTCCAAGATGGAGCCCACCACTGGCCAAAGCTGAGCCAGTCAATTACATTGGTAGCGCCTCTGTGTTAACTTATTTAAGAAAGAACTGCTGTGCAACAGTAGCTGGGAGAGAGCTGGGAGAAAATGTGAGAGAAACAGCTCTGCAGACACCAAGATCAGTGAAGATGGAGGGGAAGGAGATGCTCCAGGCACTGGAGCAGAGATTCCCCTGCAGCCCATGGTGAACACTGTGGTGGTGCAGATTTCCACCTTGATGCCTGTGGAGGATCCCATGCTGGAACAACTGGATGTGCCCTGTAGGAAGCTGCAACCCATGGAAAGCCCATCCTGGAACACGCTCCTGGGAGGAGTTGTGACCCTGTGGAGAGGAGCGCACTCAGGAGCAGGTTTACTGGCAGGACCTGTGACCCAGGAGGGGACCCATGCTGTGGCAATCCATTCCTGAAGAACACTGCTCTATGGAAGAGATCCACACTGGAGGAGTTCTAGAAGAAATGCAGCCCATGGGAAGGACCCGCGTTGGACATGAAGGACTGTAGCCGGTGGCTGGGACCCTACGCTAGAGCAGGGGGAAAGTATGAGGCGGAAGGAGCATCAGAGACAAAGTGTTATGAACTGACCACAACCCCCATTACCCATCCCCCTACACCTCTTTGCAGGATAGGTAGAAGAGCTGGGAGTGAAGTGGAGCCTGGGAAGAAGGGAGGGGCAGGGGAAAGGTATTTTATATTTGGTCTTATTTCTCATTATCCTACTCTGCTTAATTGGCAGTAAAATATATTATTTTCCCAAATTCGAGTCTGTTTTGCCCATGATGATAATTGGTAAATGATCTCACAGAATCACAGAA